TATATATTTTTTTTGCAACCAGCCACGGTATCCGGAGCGTTGTCCCGACTAATCTGTTGGTCAACCTAGGTCATACACTTGGCAATAGTGGGTGAGTCTCCCAGCAAAGATTTTCTGCATTAACAAGGACTCGAACTCGAGACCTTGCTTAAGCGACATCAAGCTGCTTACCACTTGAGTCAATCATTGTTGGTGTATTTATATATAATTTAACAAGTAAAAGAACAAAATTACATTTTGAATTTAGTAGTATTTAAGCAGGTGTTATCATTATATCAGCAGAAAAAAACACAAGTTGCTTGCAGTTTTTTATTTTATTTTATTTTTTTTACAATAACGTACAAAATAAATCACTGAAAAAAATACTCAGAGTACATAAAACGTACAAAATAAACCGTTCAATAAAATGAAATATGAATTATCTATTTTATATAATAATTTTGTTGTTAATCAAATCTATTATCTATTAAAAAGGCAACCTAAATAATTCTAAAATAGTAACTAAAAAATAAGATAAAATCCCGCCTAAACAAATAACTAAAAAAAGTAACTTTTTTGAATTTTTTGCAAATGCCGCCTTATTGGATAGCTTGATTCTTTTGGCATGTTTGAAAAGTTTTATCCACATCCCACATTTTTATGTTGCCGTTTAAAATTTTCGGAAATTTGATGAACAAATCAACTTTAAAACATTTCAGATTATGTTTGTTAATGATATTAAAACAAATTACTTTAACATTCAGAAAGCATATCATTTTTTTTTTTTTGGGACCACTCCCAAATATTTTTGGTGAATAATAAATTAACATTTAATATTGAAAGAAATTCACTTTTAACATTTGGCAAATATGTCAATTTTTTTTTGCCACTCCCAAATATTTTTTGTTGAATGAATAAATTAACATACAATATTGCATTTCGAACCATTAAATAGCAACATTTCAATTTAATTAAAATCATGATTCCTTTAATTCAAATTTTCCAAAATAATAAAATCAAATCACATCAAATATTTTTAGTAATTATCACCGAAATAAATAACCATTCAACTATCCCAACACTTTTGATTGTGATTGATGTAGAGTTTTACATCATTTTTTTTTTTTTTTGTTCTATAAAAATCAGAAAAAAGAGCTCCGCTTAAAACACTTAAAACAATTGAAACACACACACACACACACACACACACATATAAAAGTTTGTATTTACTTGAAATAATAACTAAAATTTTGCCTACAAATTTTATTTTGCCCTTTATTAGTAATTTTTTTTAAAATATTTTAGAAAAATGGTTGAAATTCAAATAAAAAACCAATATAATTAATGTACATAATCATTGTGGTCAAATATGACTACTATTAACATTCAAATGATACAAATATTTTGTTTAAATATTATTTCATTTGAGTTGTGATTATATACAAATTATTTTCTTAAAATACATTGTTCACTCTATCCGATGCCACAATTTCATTAACGAACTTATAAATAAAAAACCTAACACATTTAATAATAAAAAATCTAATTAACAATTTTTTTTTTAGAAAAAAAATTATGCAACACATTTCATAATAACAAATACAATTCGTAGCTAGATATTGGTAATCCAAGCTAGAGATATTAAATGATCCTTATCCCAATAGGCCGGCCCGTTTAACCCGTAAAAAAGCAGGGTTATGGTCATTTATTAGTAGCCCGTTTAAATCATAACTTTTTAGGCCTGGACTGTTTACCCCGAAGCCTGCTAGGACTAGCCCGAAACCCGCTAGGGCTAGCCCGTTTAATTAAGGTTGGGCGGTGTAAATATTAGCATTAAGTAAGTAATACGCTTTTAGATTCCCTGTATATTAAAATTTTGCTATTCCACTTGTCATGTAAGTATGAGTTGTAATGGATTATTGTGATTTTAAAAGATAATTATTAACAATATTGTTATCGTACTTCACACCAAAATATTTAAGCACATCGGAACGACTAATATGAAACACATGAAACATAGTGATAGAATTTATAGCGAAAATTCCTAAGACGTACAAAATAAGTAGTAAATGGTAATTGTAAGTAATAGTTTGAATATTTTTTATGTTTTGAGAAAAATGTGTTAGTTAAGAGTTTGTAATGTGTGTTCATATATGACGTGTAGTTGTATATATAGAGAGTTAAATACTAAATAGCCATTGGAAACAATCGTTAACTAGCCGTTGTTATTTTTTTCTAAACCGAAATGTGTTACTATTAGTCCCGCCTCTACAAATTAATTAATCAAAGTATGGTCTAAAGTTATAAAAAATAATAATCCGATTTTGGTATAAAGTGGACGATTTTATTTTAGATTTCTAATGCTCATTTTTTTTTTTTTGTTAGGAAATGTGTTATCAATAAATGTCTTAATATATGGTATGAAGTGGACGATTTTATTTTGATATGAAATGTAGGGATTCAAATGATATGAATTTTATTTATTATGGCTATGAAAGTCAAATGTTAGGTTGATTTGCTATAAAATCAAGGTGATATGATTATCAAATTTTAGCATATATGTTGATGATAATTCGACAAATGGTATGTATTCCTCTTGAAAATAATAAAAAATATTTGAAAAAACATTGGTTAATAAAATTTAAAAGTTTTAATTTAATTCTAGAGAATGAGTTAATAAATTTGAATAATAAGGTAAGCGACAATAAATCTAGAAAATTGTGAGATAATATATATATATATATATATATATTATTGTGTAGTCTAAATTTGAGTCTCAAATTTAAAAGTCAATAAGTAATTATTCATAACTTGGACGTAAATGAGATAGTCAATTATTTATAGTTTAATAAATTACTCAACTACTTAAATATTTTTGGTTTGGATAGTTTATACAAAATATAAATTTATTTAAATTAATGAAACAATATAAGTTTTATAATTATAGCTATTATTCACATAGATTTAAAGATATGATAAAATCTTTCCAAAACTAATTATTTTATGAAATCAAATTGTAGTCTAATCAAATTTCTAAATGAAAAATTTAAAATGACACTTATTTTAAAATAAATATAATGCAATTTATTATCAGCTGTAGGAGTTGTGTACATCAAATATACATGTTATATGTAATTTTGTACAATTTAAATTTCATATAACATTTTTAATAAATTAATATAATAATTCATATTACGTATTAATTATTTATTTTAAAATTATAAGTATTAGTCAACAAACATTTTTAATTTACAAAAAATAATGAATATTTCTTATCCGTGCATCGCACGAGATTCGTACTAGTAATTTAAATAGGTGTGCATAACAAAAAAAAATATTTTTGTATACTTTTAATTTTGTAATTGTTTAATCAATTAAAATGATTTTCAACGGGCCTCAACTCTAGGCTGGAAATATTTGAAGAAGATTATACCGGTCCACTTACAGAACTATTTCGTCGGCTTTATAACTGTTAAATCAACTATCTACGACGGTATAACTGATCTAAATCTCAACGAAACAGAACTATTCCGTCGAGTTTATAGCTGATCTAAATCTCAACGAAATGGTTCCGTAATATGACTGTATCATTTTGTCATCCGGAAAACGACAACAAAAAAAAAAA